ATTATATCACAGTGGGTGTATCCAGTTATCTATCTATCCCTTCTCCTACTCCTGTGGATACAAGTACAGCAACTTTCATTTCATGGAACGAGCCACTCGCTGTTTTCTTGGCTATCCAGGACTGTCTAGGATCAACTAGCTTAGATAATAGACCAGTTTCTCACGTGGGTGGGCATTGTTAAGGTTCAAACCCACACCCTCACTATATCAGTGTATTTACCCACGTGGGCGCGCGACACACCTTCCAGTCCCCGTTTCATTTTTTTAAATTACAGTTTCTGTTAAGTACAGTTGCACTAAGGATATCCCATCGACTGCATTGACCCATATTTTCGAAATAATCTTACCCATCAGACAGGCAGAGTAGAAATTGTGAAGCACTGAATTCCATCGTTCTGTACTCATCCACGTAAGGTTAGTTGCGTATCCCTTACAGGACGTTGCAGAAAATACCCCAACAGCCCCTGACTGTTGTGTGGTTTCTCTAGGCAAATTTACATCCTGTAGTTTGCCATTGCTCCCTGGACGGTCGGCTTTCTTGATAACACTGTCAAAACCATTGAAAGGTGCATGGCCCGCAGCTGGGATCGAACCCGGCATCCAGGCATTGCAAAGAGTTCGCATCGACTTAGCCACAGAGCCGACACACATCCACATACTGCTTAGGAAGTAGGAGAACCGTTGGGCTGGTCACCTGCCTGCATAGCAGACTATCGGCTTCCAAACAGAATAGTGTCTGGTGAATGAAAACTTCTGCTCGTGGATTTAAAAAAAAGTTAATAATAAAATAAAACCACCGCTGTAATGAAGCACTTAAAATCTCTTAACGTCTGCCATTAAAATGGAAACTTGGGAGTCGTCTGCATAACACCGATCTGGATGGCCTACCGTAGTCAAGCATGGCACATCGGCCTTTCAGGCTACAGAGGCTGTAAAGACAGAGAAGCGACCGGCAGACGAGATAGAGCTGGGGCATGTCTACTGTTACTTCCGCCTGTTGCCGGCCCTACTTGAAAACTTGTCAGCTCAGATTGGGCCATCAGCCCTCTTCCTATTTACAATCATTGACAGTTGATTTTAAATTTTTTTTTTCTTTGGAAAATGATTCTTAATCGAATAGACTGTATACCTCTACCCCAGGTGTAGCTATTGGAGCTAAGAGCCAAAATATCCGTGCGGAAGCAACCCGTGGTTAGTTCAGCCAGAACATAATTGGACTTGTTAGCCTAAGAACATTGAGAAATACATCCAGGAGGAGATCGGAGAACTGATGGTCAAGTCCCATACGCGATGAAGACAATCTTTAAATGAAGAGTGAACAATAAGGATTTTTATTTTTATTTTTATCGGTGGATGCAAACTCCTGGTCCTCCTGTGTAATGGACGAACAACTCGGACCATCCCAAGCAAACGTAGCGACTGAGTTTGTAACCATTTCATAGGCACTGGTCTTCTGGTGGCAGCCCTTTGTTTGATGCAATAAGTGTATTCAGTTCGTGCTACGCTCATATGACGCCGTCAACTTTCAAATGGCTGAGAAAACCTCGGAGCCAAAATGTATATTCGAATCACCAGAGGTGTCACATTTGTGTGGAGTGCCCAAAGGAAATCTTACAATTTCAACCATATAACTCCCCCCTCGCCCCACCCTCCCCCCTCCCCCGTGTTTGGGGATGATACCGCTATCCCCATAGTGGAAGTCTGCCTGATTTAATGTGTAATTTTTTTAAAAATTATTTCAATAACGCGGATACAAACAATACATTGCACATAACATTACGGGAAAACGTTGTTTTGACTAAGTATTGGGATTTATTGATTGACTAACTGTTGAATTAATTGTGCGATAAATTGTGCGATTTATTCAGATATATATTGTGTGATTTATGTGTGTGCGTTTTATTGTGATCCATCACATGATCTGTTTGAAAACAATTAGCGAATTTACTGTGCAATTTATTTACTGACTGCTGTGTGATTTATTGACTGACTGCTGTGTGATTTATTGACTGACTACTGTGTGATTTATTGACTGACTACTGCGTGATTTATTGACTGACTACTGTGTGATTTATTGACTGACTACTGCGTGATTTATTGACTGACTACTGTGTGATTTATTGACTGACAACTGTGTGATTTATTGACTGACTACTGTGTGATTTATTGACTGACTACTGTGTGATTTATTGACTGACTGCTTTGTGATTTATTGACTGACTACTGTGTGATTTATTGACTGACTACTGAGTGATTTATTGACTGACTGCTGTGTGATTTATTGACTGACTGCTGTGTGATTTATTGACTGACTACTGTGTGATTTATTGACTGACTGCTGTGTGATTTATTGACTGACTACTGTGTGATTTATTGACTGACTACTGTGTGATTTATTGACTGACTACTGTGTGATTTATTGACTGACTACTGTGTGATTTATTGACTGACTACTGTGTGATTTATTGACTGACTACTGTGTGATTTATTGACTGACTACTGTGTGATTTATTGACTGACTACTGTGTGATTTATTGACTGACTACTGTGTGATTTATTGACTGACTACTGTGTGATTTATTGACTGACTACTGTGTGATTTATTGACTGACTACTGTGTGATTTATTGACTGACTACTGTGTGATTTATTGACTGACTACTGTGTGATTTATTGACTGACTACTGTGTGATTTATTGACTGACTACTGTGTGATTTATTGACTGACTACTGTGTGATTTATTGACTGACTACTGTGTGATTTATTGACTGACTACTGTGTGATTTATTGACTGACTACTGTGTGATTTATTGACTGACTGCTGTGTGATTTTTTGACTGACTGCTGTGTGATTTATTGACTGACTGCTGTGTGATTTATTGACTGACTACTGTGTGATTTATTGACTGACTGCTGTGTGATTTATTGACTGACTGCTGTGTGATTTATTGACTGACAACAGTGTGATTTATTGACTGACTACTGTGTGATTTATTGACTGACTACTGTGTGATTTATTGACTGACTGCTGTGTGATTTATTGACTGACTGCTGTGTGATTTATTGACTGACTGCTGTGTGATTTATTGACTGACAACAGTGTGATTTATTGACTGACTACTGTGTGATTTATTGACTGACTGCTGTGTGATTTATTGACTGACTGCTGTGTGATTTATTGACTGACTGCTGTGTGATTTATTGACTGACTACTGTGTGATTTATTGACTGACTACTGTGTGATTTATTGACTGACAACAGTGTGATTTATTAGCTGACTGCTGTGTGATTTATTAGCTGACTACTGAGTGATTTATTGACTGACTACTGAGTGATTTATTGACTGACTACTGTGTGATTTATTGACTGACTGCTGTGTGATTTATTGACTGACTGCTGTGTGATTTATTGACTGACTACTGAGCGATTTATTGACGGACTACTATGTGATTTATTGACGGACTACTATGTGATTTATTGACCGACTACTGTGTGATTTATTGACCGACTACTGTGTGATTTATTGACTGACTACTGTGTGATTTATTGACTGACTACTGTGTGATTTATTGACTGACTACTGTGTGATTTATTGACTGACCGCTTTGTGATTTATTGACTGACCACTGTGTGATTTATTGACTGACTGCTGTGTGATTTATTGACTGAATACTGTGTGATTTATTGACTGACTACTGTGTGATTTATTGACTGACTACTGTGTGATTTATTGACTGACTAATGTGTGATTTGATGTGTGAATTATAGATGGTTGGACTCTAACAAAAGAGTTACAACTCTGCTTAGTGTGTTCAAAGAAATTAAAAAAAAAAATTAAAAACAGCATAGAATATATTGGCTATGCTTTTGTATCCGTGGTTGCATAAACATGTCTTCCCTACATCTGCACTGTGTGAAGATGTCTTACCTGCTTAATTCTGCACATGTAGTTATTGATTCGGTGATGGCTGATTTTATCGTTCATTGCTGTTTACTCTAGCAACAATACAGTTGCTTGAAGATTGTCGTGTGTTTGTGGTTCCAAGTAAATATGAACATAAATCTTCAGATACTCCCAGCAACAAAACAAATGCATTGATTTCTTGGACTCTTGAAAATGATTCCTTTTGTTCTCTCCTGACTTCGTGACATGTCGCTTGTGTTGCGTCCTGTCTGTTTGTGTTGTGTCTGTTATGTTGTGTCGAATCTGCTTGTGGTGTGTCGTGTCTGCTTGTGGTGTGTCGTGTCTGCTTTTGTTGTATCGTATTTGTTTCTGTTGTGTCGTGTCTGCTTGTGTTGTATCGTGTCTGCTTGTGTTGTGTCATGCCAGCTTGTGTTGTGACCTATTTGTTTATGTTGTGTCGTGTCTGCTTGTGTTGTGTCGTGTCTGCTTGTGTTGTGTCTGTTATGTTGTGTTGTGTCATGTCTGGTTATCTTGTTTCGTGTCTGCTTATGTGGTGTCGTGTCTGTTGTGTTGAGTCGTGTCTGCTTGTGTTGTGTCGTGTCTGCTTGTGTTGTGTCGTGTCTGCTTGTGTTGTGTCGTGTCTGCTTGTGTTGCGTCGTGTCTGCTTGTGTTGTGTCGTGTCTGCTTGTGTTGCGTCGTGTCTGCTTGTATTGTGTCGTGTCTGCTTGTATTGTGTCGGGTCTGCTTGTGTTGCGTTGTGTCTGCTTGTGTTGTGTCGTGTCTGCTAGTTTTGCTTCATGACTGCTTTTCTTGTGTCGTGTCTGCTTGTGCTGTAACGTGTCTTCTTGTGTTGTGTCATGCCTGTTTGTGTTGTGTCGTGTCTGTTTATGTTGTGTCGTGTCTGCTTGTGTTGTGTCGTGTCTGCTTGTGTTGTGTCGTGTCTGCTTGTGTTGTTTCGTATCTGATTGTGTTGCGTAGGATTGACAAAACATAAACTTGCATCATGTTAATTGTCAGCCTGTAGCAATATTTGTGTTTCTTTATAGTCGAATGTTTTACTTCTGCAATGTTTGTTTTAACGTGGGTCATATTTTAATTCTATTTTTCGTCCATTATTGATTAAAAAGAACGTGTTATTTCTGAGCTGTTTATATTTCTCTACCGTCGAGAGTCAGCCCCAGTCTAGTTTTTCTGGCCTTACCCCATTGGCTGTGACTACACTATATGTGTGAGCTGTCTCTTGTCTTCTGTCTTGTGATATCAAGACATACGGAGGTGTCTTTTGAGTAGACATAATCTCTCTCTCTCTCTCTCTCTCTCTCTCTCTCTCTCTCTCTCTCTTTCTTTCTCTTACACACACACTCACACGCACACAGAGTATCTCTACCACTTTCCTCTTTCACACTGTGCCACTTGTTAGCAAAAACAAATGGTCTTTTTACTTAGGAACAAAACTGTCTGACAGTTTAAGGTCTGCTGGGCCCTGACAATTGTCATTACTACAACCTTTCCTAGGAAGTAACAAGTCACTGCCAGAAAAAAAAACATTTTTTTCCCAGCAAACATACACTACTATAAACATTCACTACTACAAACATTCAATACTACAAACATTCACTACTACAAACATTTACTAAATACTACAAACATACACTGCTACGAACATTCACTACAACAAGCATTCACTGCTACACAAATTTATTATCACAAACATTTAGTATCATAATAATTTATGACTTCTAACTTTCACTACTACAAACATTCACTACTACAAATATGAACTACTACTAGCATTTACTACTACAAATACTCATTATTACAAACATTCATTAATACAAACATTCATTATTACAAACAGTCACTACTACAAATATTTATTATTACAAACATTCACTAATACAAACATTCATTATTATAAACAGTCACTACTACAAATATTTATTATTACAAACATTCACTAATACAAACATTCATTATTACAAACAGTCAATACTACAAATTTTTATTATTACAAACATTCACTAATACAAACATTCATTTTTACAAACAGTCACTACTACAAATATTTATTATTACAAACATTCACTAATACAAACATTCATTTTTACAAACAGTCACTACTACAAATATTTATTATTACAAACATTCACTAATACAAACATTCATTATTACAAACAGTTACTACTACAAATATTTATTATAACAAACATTCACTAATACAAACATTCATTTTTACAAACAGTCACTACTACAAATATTTATTATTACAAACATTCACTAATACAAACATTCATTATTACAAACAGTTACTACTACAAATATTCATTATAACAAACATTCACTAATACAAACATTTATTATTACAAACAGTTACTACTACAAATATTCATTATAACAAACATTCCCTAATACAAACATTCATTATTACAAACAGTTACTACTACAAATATTCATTATAACAAACATTCACTAATACAAACATTCATTTTTACAAACAGTCACCACAACAAATGTTGCTACCTCGAACATTCATTATTACAAAATGTACAACTACAAATATTGCTTTCCTCAAACATTGATTATTACTAACGTTCACGATTACAAATGTTGAGTACCTTAAACAGTCACTATTACAAACATAAACTACTACAAACCTTTACTACTAAAAATATTAACTAAAAATTCACTACTACATATGTTGCATACCTCAAAGATTCATCTCTGCAAACATTCACTGGAGACAGAGACCTTTTCCAGCCATGTTTTTTCAGCCACTCACTGAGTATGTTCGGGAAGATAGAGAAGGGCTGGATCCGAAGACAGTGGCTGGAAGCTGTAGAGCGGTCGAGGCTTACATATATCATTTTCATATCTTTACCAGGGCACGCCGGTGTGCAAGGGAATGAGTGAGCTGACTGGCTGGCAGGTAGATATTATAAATGTTCCATGGGACGTCTGATGTTTGCCAGCACCAAGTGATGACTATAAATCTGCAACCATGACCAGCCTGTAGAAACAGTCAATTAGGAATGATCTGGCCAGCAAGAGCACTGTGCAGGAAGCCAATTATGAACAATAAATCTACACAGAACTGGTGTCGTCAGCCCTTACACGCTGCATGATTTACTGAGGAGGGGATCCGAGCACTTATGGGCTGAGTGGTTCGATGTACAGTGTGGATGATCTTTTGACTAACTAACCAACAAAAATTAATTACCCAGAATTTGACAGCTCACTACAAAGACACGCGTGCGCGCAAAAATGCAAACACACACACACACACACACACACACACACACACACACACACACACTGACTCACAGAATCTCATGCACACAACAGAAAGAGCCCGTCAACAACCACCCTTTTTACCAACAAGTTGCTACTTCAGACCCCGTGAACCTATCGTAGCTACAGACCTGCACATATGCTTCTATTGGCCCAGGCGTGCACCTGAGTAACTGCAGTTTCGCGTGCATCGGAGATCTGAAGTAACAAGCGTCGGCTCAAATTTATATAGGCATTGATTTATTGTAGGCTTTATTTCTTCCGTTGGCTCCAGGTTTTTGCGAGGTTGACAGTGCGGACACAATAATGCAGCAAATCCGCCTACCACCGCTCCCTTGTTAGAGATAGTTTATAGGCATTGACAGAAAAGATTGCAATGATATGTTATGCTTACATAAGTAACCAGAAATTCGTTAACTGGTCAAAAAGAATTTTAATAAGTAAATGACAGAAGACAAGAAAAGTAAACAATATGTAACAACCTCGGGGTTGGTGTGTGTATGTGGGGGGGGGGGGGGGGAGTTTGGTTAGAGGTAATAGTAGACTTTAATTGTTTAACTCGAGCCCTAAACCTAACTTCCCTATATTATGGTACTGTCCAGGAAAATCCCTAGGAAATCTCGAAGCCGACAACATGGGCTCGTCTAAAACTAAAGTTTCACAATGTAACATGCTGGGAGAGTATACTGTTAGGCTGTTGATAGTTTTGGTTTGACAAAATTTGCGGGATCAAACTGACAAGTTTGCAGATTGGAACTCTCCCGAAGTGCCCAGCGAGTCAAAAAGTTTATATAAGGCCCAACACAGGAGAAAACATGCTCTGTGGTCTGCGGCAGTGGCACTAGAAACATGTTGTCCCGACTTTTCGTTGCCGGAACGTACAGGTCCCAGGTGCAATGTAGGTTCTATGGACTGAACCGCGAGAGATGAACCGGGTCACTGGTTTCATGTTTTGGCAGTGCGTTAAATATATAGGCTGTGATAGATCTAGATTTCCATGAACATCCTCACGCAAAGAATGTTGATTGTAGGTTACTTCGTAGTAAAGGCGAACTGTCATTTTTATTAGCTAGTGATCAGCACATGGTCTGTTCCAACACGTATTATTTGTTATTGTATTGTTATCTAAGAAGCACGCTGGTTTTTGCATTAAGGACAATAAACAGATATTGAAGTGATGTTTATATTTCATTCGTTTGATTCAGAATAGGACGTGTAGTTTGTGAACGTGGAAGGACTAGGTGCTGCCTATTTAGTTACATTTATTTGTTGTTTAACTCACTATTTACGTTTTCACTTTTCTTTTCTCGTCTACCTCCTTGTTATTTTTATTTTATTTTTTTTCGCTTGTTGCTAGCTGAATAATATTAATAATAATAATACTAATAATGTACACTTAAACAAGGCTGATGTTATTTGAGACCCCCACACATAGAAAGTGATGACGGAGTTATTGACCCCGCCCCTGCATGTCAACAGCATGAATGGTACAAAGTCGAAACGCACTTTACATCACTATGTCAAACCACCTGTCTTGTTAAGGAATTTAACAACGGATATTCTAGTAGACTAACACTGTGGTCTGTGTTTGGAGATTCATATTTTGTTTATCAATAAATAGCAAAAATTATTGCAAATGCGTGTGTGCATGGTCATAGAATAGAGCCTTAATAACTGTTTGAGAATCGCTGATCAAACCAGACAGATAAAACAAGGTCTGCATCAGACAATACGGCTGATCCAACCAGACAGATAAAACAAGCTCGGCATCAGACAATACGGCTGATCCAACCAGACAGATAAAATAAGCTCGGCATCAGACAATAAGGCTGATCCAACCAGACAGATAAAACAAGCTCGGCATCAGACAATACGGCTGATATAACCAGATGGACGCAACACAGTACGTCATCTGAGAACATTACCGATCTAACCAAACGGACAGAACAAGTTAGTTAGTTGCGTGTCCTTTACATACAGGACGGTGAAGAACCAACCCCAGCACGTTTTGGCTATCGTTGTTATCTATGCAGATTTGACGTTCAGTAGTTTGCCATTGCTGTGTAAACGGTCAGCTAACAATAGCACTGCCTAAATCAAGACAAATCGCCCGCAGGTGGGATCGAACCCGGCACCCCGGCATTACGAAGTCGTTCGCAACCTTAAGCCAAAAAAACTCCAGGGCAGAACAAGTGTGGCATCAAAAAACAATCAAACATCAACAGCCTGTCTTCTGACTTGGCAACAATAAAGGTGCCACAATGGAAAACCTCCTTCCCACAATGAGACTCCGCGGTCTAGCGGCGTCAGGAGAATACGCCCCGGCAATAAGGACAGCCACAAGTGGCATTAGCGGTCATTCAGAGAGGCTTACAGAAGATAAGGCGCCCGCAGCTTCCGCGAGTTCATCAATGAAGCATTTGTGATAAGTGTTGACAAAGAACCGCTGAGCAATGTTAAAGCCTTGGTTGTTATAGCGATCGTCTCAAGTCTGCGTATGGCATTCACATTTCTAACAATATAGGTAGGTTAGTGAGTACATTTGTAAGCTGGTGCGTGTTGTAGAAACAAACTTATGTATTATATACAATGTATGTGTGTGAATATATGTATATATGTGTGTGTGTGTCCGAGAGAGAGAAAGATAGAATGAGAAAGAGCGAAGAAGAGAGAGCGAGAGAGAGAGAGAGAGAGGTATAGATAG